ATATTTGTTGTTGTTCGGTTATTTTTTCCTATTGGTATCATATACATGCATGAAATAATTGAATTGAATATCTCCCCTTTGACATTTCTTATAGAAATGACAACTGCCAAAAAACGCTCACTTCCTTAACGGCCTTTCCTTGCGCTCAGTAAAATTACAAGAAACGGTGGCATCCAGCGGAAACATCCAAGTGGCTACTTGGTGAAGCTGAGCGCTCTAATGTGCTGGATACACCTATTGCATCGAAAAAAAGAAAAATTGCCAACAATGCATTGCATTCAGTCTCCTTTGCTTAAAAACAAACGCAATGCAGTTTTCGCAATTGAAATAACACGTGGAGTGCCAAAAGACGGTTGTAAACGGCCCACAAGACAATTAAATTGCATATAGCTCTGATTCAAGGGTTCTGGTAGACTGCAAATTGTTGAATTGTTTCAACGGCCATTTGCTAATAGTCTATGAAGTGTCTACTTCAGTAGTGCAAAGTGCCCTAATTCCAATCAAAAACTGAATATATTTCTTCTTCCCCTGTATCTACTTACTCTTTGTCGTCAGGTTTTGCCAAATTTTCCCTAAACTGGATAGAGTTAACGACGTCACGGAATACTCTATTAATGGTTTCACCATCGATAAGAGCTTGCAACATGGCGACACCCACATATGCAGTGTAGTTGCTGATTTGTAAACTTTACACAAGGAAACGTCATTACTGTGACTTTTAAAATGATTGTTATAAATACTTAATTTTTATAACACTTACAGCAACATAAGTTCAACTTGATGGAAGCAGTTCGTTTCCTTTTAACGATATTTGGTTGTCTACGATTATTTCAATAAAACTGTTAAAACCAGAAAAAACAATACATTCGATGTGCCTATGATTTCCCCAAAGTTAATATAAAACGACAAATATTACAAAGAAAATTATAGAATGAAATAAATAAGAAAAATAAAAAAAGAATAAGTGTATTACCAAACTGATTTTAAAGTGCTTTATGTTGTTAATAGTCTGTGAATAGAAAAATTAAGCAACTGAAACTTTTTTATCCAGTGCAAACTATTATAAAGAAATGTATTATAAAATGTTAACCTTCTATAGGTTTCTATGGACCTTAAACAACTTATGTAAAATTCGACATGCATTTGAAAAAAAAAGTATGTATAGCTTTATTTACAATATCTTTGCTAGTGACTCAGCTATACGTGTGACGACTTATAAGTTGAAAAATCAGGTTCCGATACCTGTGGTGTGCAGAGCCCATTTTGTAGCTTTGTGTTTAACAAGAAACAAACAAATGAATTATTCTACACAGTTTTAAAACAGCGTACCTTTGTGTAATATCTTAATAAAATTCGTGCATGAAGAAGAATGAATATTTTATTTAACAATCTATTTCTATGGATCATATTAGTGTACCTACAATGAACATTTAGAATCAATCCATCTGTTTTTGAAATTTCTGGCATTTTTATATTTTCCACTCGACAGGACAAGTATTTTCCGTTATCGTCACTTATCGGAATGAAGACCAGATTGCTAACGGTTCGGTTTCCACCATCCCTTACGATCTCCAAAGCATCCGTCAATTTTCGGGTTCCAAGCCACCAAGTGATGTTAGCAGGAGGTCGTGATCCCGTCGTCTGACACTCAACACCAAACTGCCGACCAGCACAAAAATGGCGGTGGGTCGAAATAACTCGTACTTCCATAGGCTTTACTGAAAATTTGTATAGTAATATTTTCTCTCAGCATATACTTGATGTCATAAGGAGACACCATATTCTTACCTAAATCAAACCAAACTTGACAAAAATACATATAAGTATTCAAGTAACGTCGTTAAGTTTTACACCCCAAATTTTCATTATATCAGGTCATTAGGATTAAACCTACCATACAGAATCCAAGTAAGAATGCATGGTAGTATTTGTTTAAATATATTACCACATGTTAAGATTAAGATGGCGCAGTAAATTGTCGAAACATATGGAGATTATACTGTTCCTAGTCTCACGGTATTTCAGCTTTATAGAGTAAATTATTATTGTATCTTAAGACTGGAGACAGTCTCATTTTTAAATATTTATTGTATAACATTAAACTTGCTTTTCTTAAGATTTGTGTTATATTACTACATACACTGTACTACCTAAGATTAAATCACGCAAGTTTGCAGTATTATTTTATCATTGTATCTCAATACAGACTGCTTGAGGATTTGTCCCTCCTCCAGTGGCACAGTGGTATGTCTGCGGACTTACAACGCTAAAAACCGGGTTTCGATACCCGTTTTGGGCAGAGCACAGATAGCCCATTGTGTAGCTTTGTGCATAACTACAAACAAACGAGCTTAAGAATTCTAGTATTTCAAAAAAAAAGTTATTTTGTTTCGACTTACAATCCATTTACAAAAAAGCCCTCATGATTCAATAAGTTTGGGGGCTTATTTCCTAAAATTCGTCCCTTGGTGGGACAGCGGTAAGCCTTCGGATTTACAATGCTAAAATCAGGGATTCGATTCCCTTCGGTGGATACAGTAGATAGCCCGATGTGGCTTTGCAATAAGAATACACAAAATCGGGTTTCGATGCCCATGTTAAGTAGAGCACAGATAGCCCATTGTGTAGCTCTGTGTTTAACTGCAAAAAAAAAAAAAAACGAAACAATTTTAAATTATCAAAAATTAATTTAGTTTTATTTACGTCTCACTGATTATCTGAAAAACTAGCTGGTTGCTTTTGCGTTATATATATATATATATATATTAGAATTATTTTCTATTGGGAGAAAAATTATTTTTCTCTTATATTTTAGTCACTTAGCTCTTGCATTTTCTAAAATTTTAATCACACACACACTTACAGTTCATGTCAATAATGACAGTGGCGACCCCTGGTGAAGTTAGATTGGTATTGGAGGCCTGACAGGAGATTTCGGCCATAAAATCTTCACGTGTTAGCTCGTGAATAATGTAGTCATTTCGAACGCTGTATTTTCCGATCTCCTGAAAGCTGTCGTCAACTTGAACAAATCCTCTCCACCATGTTACGATCGGTAAAGGTTTACCTATAACAAATCAAACTATTAAGAGCTAAAATCAAAGCTTGAAACAAAGTGGTAACAAAAAATGCCAACTTAAAGTACTGATATTTTTATTCTACCCATTAATATGCCCCCCAGTGGCACAGCGGCATGTCTGCAGACTTACAACGCTAGAAACCGGGTTTCGATACCCGTGTGGGCAGAGCACAGATAGCCCATTGTGTAGCTTTGTGTTTAACTTCAAACAAAAACAAAAAACAAATCCCATTAAGACTTGAAACACAATATCCAGATTTGGTAATATATGTTGTATGTAATAAGTAATATGTATTTAAACTATGTGTAACTACTGGTAATCGACTAGCCCACTTCGTTTTGACAGTCCGAAACTAAAAGTGCCTAAAATCCCACCAGAAATAAAGTACTACCTCGATCCCATCCGATGGGTTAGCGGTAAGTTTACAGGGCTAAAATGGAGTGCAGATAGCCCATTACACTGGGCAACAAAAAAGAAACCCTCTGCTACTATAAGAAATGCAACTGTTTCTAAGTAATCTAACGATGCTGATTCTAAATTCATGTTGAAAATTATTGATCAACTCTAGTTTTCGAGTGATGATAGATTTCTTCCAAATATTCTTATATATCGTGAAAATAACTTTTTTAATAATCTTATCTATTCATTGAAATCGCATTTAAGAATGTATAAACTGCATGCTTCGATAACTTTCTTTCATGTTCACTGCATGAGCAACAGGAATCGATGTTTTAGTGTTCCCATTGTGCAAAAGTATGGCTTTCAAACTAACTTTAGAGTAGTCGATAAAAAGTCTCCATTGTTGAGGATGAAGTTCAGTACCTACTTTTTCCATTAATGCCTCAACGTTTATACAGAAACACAAAGTATATTGCATGTTGTAGTGAGAAGCAAGACTTTGATGGCGACTTTGGTAAATTGAAATTCTTGTTCCTGGAACCAATAAATTCCATTACTATAAACGAGAACCAAGAAGTTCCCCATGCTGCTTTGATAGAGACAAGTCACGAATCAGATCATTTAGCTCTTGTTTTATGATCATATGAGGCAGTTTATGTTGAGGTGCCACAGGAATATAATTATTCTGCTGTTTCCCAATTCGCTAGTGGGTGTGCTACTTGAAGACCATCCCCATGAGGTACTGGATTCATTGCAGATGCAATATCTGGATATTTAGTGTAGTTTTTAGTTTTGCCTGAATATTCAGAAACATTATTCACGCAAAAATAACAGTCAGTTAGATGATCTTTGGGCTCATGCCATCTCATAGGAACTGTAAATGGCATACTTGCTCTCTTCTTATTCAGCAAAATGTACAGCACACATGTGGAACCCAATGTTTTTCTTGGTCCCAAACTTTATACCCCAAAATAGTAGCAGTAAGCTACCTTTACCTTGTGTATAATGTTTTACTGTAATATATTTTCCCCAAGTGTAACAGAAACTGTTTGGGTGATTTTTGCACTTTCGGAATTTACTTGAACTGGAGGCAGCCAACATTTCAAACGATGTTTACAGAACTAGAATATAAAAGATTTAAAAAAAAAACAGGGTTTTGCATAATTTGATTATATCGCGGGTATTATGCGAGGAAGAAAATCGGACTTTGTTTTGACTGTGTGCGAAGCGAGGCCTCTTTTATGCTCAGTCGAGGGACTTCTCGAATGTTGTAGCGAACTGAGCACGTGAGGATTTCATGATTCCCGAGCGGAGTAGGTGAGCGTGGAAATGAAGCACAAGTGGTGCAATTCGCTACAATTGTATCGAGAATAAATAGCATATATGAACAATATATTTGGAATTTTAGAACAATACCATACAGTTAATGTTTGAAGTTATCCAAAATGTATGCCTTTTACCCATTAAACTGTCCAAGTAAACGTAATTTCATTGCACAAATCTATTTTACTGAGTTTATTGCATATTCTTTTTATTAATACATAGTGCTGATAAAATATCGAGAGATTACAATAACTCAGACTCTAGAGGTGATGCATAAATTCTGACTACATTTCTGAAATCAGCACCATCAAATTACCCGAATCTCTTAGGTTCTCCAGTAGCAACTTTTGTTATCCAGTGTTATGTAACTTTGCACTAAGAAATATACAACAACAGTGCAAACTTGACGAATTTTGAGTTTTAATTATGTAGATATCCTAACAATAGTTTTTATCGTTAGCTAAAATAAAATGAAAGTTCACAAACTGATTGTAACAAGCAAAATAAATGTAATGGTTTATCTGAGTAGCGTTTCTGTTTCTTAATAGTACTACTTGTGGAAAAGTATACATATATTGATAAATAACCTTTAAAATTCTAAAGCTCGAAATAATACTGGTATGAGGTACACTTACCCTTACTACAAATCTAACCCATCAAAAAGTATCAACTTTTTGCAAGGTAAGAAAAATATTATGGGTATCGAAACACAGATTTTAGCGTTATAAGCCTTCAGACTTTCCACTAAGCCACTAGGAGGCTTATGATATAAAATAGCTATCATTGATTCAGTGACTACTTAAGCATATTACTATGATCTGAATGCTTAGTAAATTATATTTTATATCTTTATACAATACAGATCAGGCATGACTTAATGGTTAGAGTCATATGCTTCAGGTCAGAATGTTCATTGTTCGAGCTTCCAATATATCAGTAAACAGGTTTCGCACTTTCAACTGTAGGTACATTATAAAAGTGACAGTCAGTTCTGCTATTCGATTTAGAGTAGCCTTGTAGGCGGTGGCTGCCATTGACTTAATGCTATTTATTTGGTCAGCAGTTAAATATTAGGGCCGTCTATGCCCGAAACTTGCGCTCTCTTACTAAGTGATTTAGCCTACACATCATATAATGTGTCGTTCAAGTTGAATACTTCAATACCTTGCTACACAAATGAACAGAATATATAGATGTCAGTTGGTACTGAAACATATGCGAAACTGGTTGTTACTAAACAAAGTATATATGTATAAGTTATGTCAGTTGTTGCTGAAAAATATGCGAAACTGGTTGTTACTTAATAAAGTACATAGGTACAAATTATGTCAGTTGGTGCTGAATAATATGCGAAACAGCTTGTTACTTAATAAAGTACATAGGAACAAATTATGTCAGTTGCTGCTGAAAAATATGCGAAACTGGTTGTTGCTTAACAAAGTACATAGGTACAAATTATGTCAGTTGCTGCTGAAAAATATGCGAAACTGGTTGTTACTTAATAGAGTACATAGGTACAAATTATGTCAGTTGCTGCTGAAAAATATCCGAAACAGCTTGTTACTTAATAAAGTACATAGGTACAAATGATGTCAGTTGGTGCTGAATAATATCCGAAACAGCTTGTTACTTAATAAAGTACATAGGTACAAATTATGTCAGTTGGTGCTGAATAATATGCGAAGCTGGTTGTTACTTAACAAACTACATAGGTACAAATTATGTTAGTTGATGCTGAATAATATGCGAAACTGGTTGTTTCTTAATAAAGTACATAGGAACAAATTATGTCAGTTAGTGCTGAATAATATGCGAAACAGCTTGTTACTTAATAGAGTACATAGGTACAAATTATGTCAGTTGTTGCTGAATAATATCCGAAACAGCTTGTTACTTAATAAAGTACATAGGTACAAATTATGTCAGTTGGTGCTGAATAATATGCGAAGCTGGTTGTTACTTAACAAACTACATAGGTACAAATTATGTTAGTTGATGCTGAATAATATGCGAAACTGGTTGTTTCTTAATAAAGTACATAGGAACAAATTATGTCAGTTAGTGCTGAATAATATGCGAAACTGGCCTATGTACTTTGTTAAGTAACAACCAGCTTCGCATATTATTCAGCTACAAATTATGTCAGTTGTTTCGCATATTATTCAGCCAAGCTGTTTCGCATATTATTCAGCTACAAATTATGTCAGTTGTTTCGCATATTATTCAGCCAAGCTGTTTCGCATATTATTCAGCTACAAATTA